CAGTAACATGTTTATTGTTAACATTTTCTCTGTCAGAACTGCCAGTGGACTCAGACTGTCCTTCATCTCTCAGACTGGACAAATTATAAAAGCAACTGTAACAGAAAAAAAAAAAGCATTTTTAAAGGCTTTCTCATCAGAAAAATAACAATTTAAAACCAAAATATAAATGAAAAAAAATCATTAGAGTTTTGGTGGGTTAAACAACAACAAACTAAATATAAACACATTTTAAATATACATAAGTAATATTTAAAACATTATAACAAGGAGAAAATTTGCTAACCAAAGCTCAAAAAGGCAACAAATTTGGAAGTTTATTATCCAAAGGTAATAAGCCGATCACGAAGCCAACGTTGCTTCTTCAGGGCAAAAGTTAGTGGTTAAACAGGCTGGTTTTATTTTTTTCTTCTTTCCTTTTCCTGTGAAAGAGGAAACCTCTTTTTAAAGCAATCTGGCTCATCTGGCCCCATCTATATCATCTACAGACTGCAGAGTGAATGATTTGAAAGACTATACATATTCCTTTGAATTTTGAGAGTTTTATGCTGAATTTTTTTTTATTTTTTTTTATTTTTTTTATTTTTTTTTTTTTTTTACAGCCTAAGTAAAAAATCTGGATAAAATACCAAAACCTTCAGAAAATCACAGTATTCAACACTTTAAACAGCTTTACATGAATTTCCAAACCCAGGCAATGGTATTGTCTACATTCAAAATCTAAACCATTTTTAAATAGAAGAATTAAATAGAAGAAATATCCTTACATAATATTTTACCAAAATTAGAAAATAATTTAAGCCTGAAGGAACCTTCATTAAACAAAGAATTCTGTTTTTTAGACGAAATCAAATCATGACTGGATCTATCAGGGCAAATTAGAAATTATAATTCCTAGGGTGTTTCTGTCACACTCCATCACAATTCTTATTTTATTAATGTATTCTAAGCTTTTATTTTGATCGGTGAAAATAAATAAATATAGAACATAAAATAAAATCACAAATCATTACTAAATCTTTTTTTACATTCTTGTGAGTTTGCAATTCTGTATGGCGTGTTGAGTAAAAGCATAGGCTACAGGTTTTTTGCACAATTTTGGCAGCATATTACCTACTTCAGAGTATTTTTCTGTAAATGCATGACACAATAAAAAGAAGTGCATGACAATTAAGTGGGAAAATAATACTTTTTTTTACATAAAAAACATGAAGACAATATAGCATATATTTGAAAGGTCCTCTGATTAGATGAAAATGGGATGCACTGAGTAAAAGAAGTCAATACATGATTTAAATACACAATTTCACAAACAGAAACATGGGAGTAGCAGCATTATGCTGTGATGTTTTTCAGTTACCGTATTTTCACGACTATAAGGCGCACTTAAACGTCTTTTTTTTCCCTAAAAATGTGCGGTGCGCCTTTTGGTGCGGTGCGCCCTATGTGTGTTGTAACTGCGACTTTTGAGACCACCTCATTGAGGAGATGATGAAAGAGTGGCTGAATGTAAGGAGACCAGGGTTTTTTTTTCCACTCATCACCATCGCTGTTAATAGGCTATGTGACTCCATGCGTGCCCATCTCACAGCTGATGTGAAAAACATGGGGAAACAAATTAACCCTGTGCTCGCTGTTCAACCGCTCGACATCGGTGTGAACCGGATCCAGCAGGTGCAGCAGAAGCAGCGAGTTTACATGCAAAGTCAATGGTTGACGCGCGTATAGGCGCAGCAAAAGGTCCCGCAGCGCATTTTGAGCAGCAGGCGCTGCGTCGGGAGCGTTTAAGCATCTGACGCACCGCCAAAGCGCTGCTGCTGCTCCAGATGGAAAAATTGAAGTTTTGCTGCTGGACGCGCCGCATCAACCAATCAGAGAAGCTGATCTGGGAGCTGACAGCGAGACAGACACAGCGCTCTGATGACACATGATATTAGCGCAAATGAAAAGGGCTGGATGGATGAGGAGATGATGAAAGCGTGGCTGAGGCAGGTGTATGTGAGGAGAACAGGTGTTTTTTTCCACGCATCACCATCGCAGTTAATCTGTGACTCCATGCGTGCCCATCTCACAGCTGATGAGAAAAACATGGTGAATCAAATGGATGCTGTGCTCGCCGTTATCCCGGGAGGTCTGACAAAGGAACTTCAACCGCTCGACATCGGTGTGAAGCGGCCGTTCAAAGTAAGGCTGCGAGCTGCGTGGGAGCGATGGATGACAGACGGAGACCACAGTTTCAGGATAAGTGGAAGGCAGCGCCGGGCAAGTTACGCCACAGTTTGCGGATGGATTGCAGATGCTTGGACTAACGTGTCTGCTGGCTCTGTTGTTCAAGCTTTCGCAAAAGCAGGCATTATTTCTGAGGAGCCGCCCGGCACGGAAAGTGACTCTGAGAGCGAAGAAGGGGAAATTGGCATGTCTGATTTAGCGCAGCTGTTTAATTCAGAAACAGAGGATATTGACTTTGATGGGTTTGATTAATACTTTGTAATAAATACATTAATAAAGCACAATCATACTCAGTTTTGCTCCCGCTCTATGTTTCTACCTGAAAACTTAAAGGAATAGTACACCCAAAACATGATTAGCCTTCATTTTCTACTCACCCCCATGCTGAACAACACTCTGGAGTACTTTTTTGATATCTCAAATGCATCTGGAGATCTGGGAGGCTTCTTGCTGTCTGCTGACATTCAAATAATGGAGGTCCATGGCGCCCGAGGCAGAAAGGTCCATAAAAGTCCATGAAAAACGTTTCAATATTCCTCCATACTGCTCGTCCAATGTATTCCAAGTGTCCTGAGTGGGTAGCATCCAGAATTTACTCGAAACGAAGTCATTTAGAATGTTTTTAGAGCATAAACAGTAGTGTATAGGATTTCCTGAAAGCGCGCGCAGGCGCGTTCATGACGCGGGGGTGAGTAGAAAATGAAGTAGAAAATGAAGGCTAATCATGTTTTGGGTGTATTATTCCTTTAATTCAACAGCAGCCTCTGGGCGGGTCTCCTCCTCTTCACCGCAGCGGCTGGCAGGTGTTTTTTCATCTAAATAATCTAAATCTTGCAGCTATATTTGCTGTGATCAGTGGGAATAAAGTAGTTTTAATATGTTTTTAAGTGAGAAAGTCCACCTGAAAACTTCATAATTGCAGTCAGTTCATCCAGATTATCTATTTCTGTCGGAGGCGCTCAGACCCCCACATACCAGCGGTACACCGACAGCAGAAATCCCTTCATCAGCAGCCTCTAGGCTGGGCAGCCTCCAGGTTCACCGCGGCTGCTGGCAGGTGTTTTTCATCTAAATAATTTTAGCTGCAGGCACCAGGATACCGGTAATAAAAGCGAACATATTCCGTCGGCAGGTTTCAGGATTTTAAGTTAATTTAGGAGTGATCACAGCGCACTGTCATCTGCGATGTGTCTGTCTCACGGCCAGCTCGCAGGTTTGATTAATACTTTGTAATAAATACATGAATAAAGCACATTCATACTCAGTTTTGCCCCCACTGTATTTTTAAATACGCAGTAGAGGTATTTAAAGGTAGTAGAGGACATGTACCTGTATATAAAAAACGCGCCCTATAGTCCGGTGCGCCTTATGTGTTAAATACAGAAATGGGACACATAACTGAGAGTGTGCCTTTTAGTACGGTGCGCCTTATGGTCGTGAAAATATGGTAGCTGATGTTTAAGAGTGCAAGGCTTCTCTTCACTTTCCTGCCAAAGTAGGATTTATGATGTGTACATTTAGGATTAATTTTTGTTTTTTATATCCTCTTTGTAATTTGACTATGTTTTAGCTGCATTTAAGGACAAATATGGAAAAGCTGTTCATTGTTAGAGATGATAAGCAATAAGATATATTTATCTCTTTCCTTTATTGGACCTTAATATAGATAAAGAATTCATCCATATCCTATACTTGCTTGTCCTTGACAGGTCAATGGCAGCCTGGTTTCAGCTGTTAGTGCACGAGAGGTACGGTACACCCTTGAGAGGCACAAAGATAGTCAAGGCAACTAAAAAAAATGAGTGACCATGATTAAAAGATATATCTAAAGAAAGAACACAAAAATGTGACATCTAAAATTATTTTTTTATAACTTTTTTGAAAGTTTTTTTTTTTTTGTTATCTGCAATATTTCACACCATCATAAAAAAACTAAATATCCATGTCATGTGGATTAACCATACCCTGTTACCCTGTTATATTAAAGCATAAATGCTCTATTCTGGGAGCAGTGGGATGAAATGATCATCTGTATGGACAGACAGTGATGTAGCATTGCACCTATATAGGGGGCATCAAATAGCTGGCAGGCTTTATTTTTTAGCTCTGCTCCAAGTGAAAACATTGAGTTAAAATAGAATTATAGGTATTATTATAGATTAACACTTTGATTTTATGAAATCTTGATTCTTGATCTTTCGTCTTGTTTGCCTTAGAAAACTTCCATCTACATGTAGAAAAGCACTCATATGTATATCACTCTACTTTCTTTATCTCTGCTTCTGTCTCCTTGAACCCCAGTCGGCCTCTGCAGATGGCCGCTCACACACTGAGCTTGGTTCTGCTGGAGGTTTCTTCCTGTTAAAAGGAAGTTTTTCCTCTCCACTGTCGCTACAAGCATGCTTCATGTGAGGGATTGCATTTGAGTCAATGCAATCAACTAGTTTTCCTTAGATAGAAAACTTTAAATCAATTGACTGTAGGATCTGGTGAACTGTTAAGTGCCTTGAGATGGCATTTGTTGTAAATAAATAAACTGTATTGAAATGAAATTGAATTTAATGTTATTTTATATAAGTATTAGTTGATTGAAGATATTAATCGTGTCACTTGGTGGCGTTAGGACGCCATTTTATTGCGTTTTACTTTAAAAGCTAGAGAGCGTCAATAATTTCCTGTGAATTCTACCTAGCAACCGCTCATTCAAAGGTTTCTATTTGTCGAAAAAATATCACATGACCTCCAGAGACTTTGTGAAGTGGATGATGTGCGTCATTTCTCCCACATTTTACTTTCGTTTCTAGGGTAGCTCAGGTTATCTCGCGTTTCTTACGAAGAATAAACATTATATTCCACCAGAGACCGTCTAAAGGCGAAGAATCATGAAGTTTTTCATTTCCCTCGTCGTTTGTGTCGTCTTGTGCCATCTTGCGACGGCTGGAGAAGAAAGGAAAGGTGTGTATTGTTCTTGTTTATATTTCAGCGTTTGTTGAGAAATGGCGCTGAGCTATAAGGAAGAAGATTAAAAAAAACATGCGTCAGCTTCAGGCCTCACCATGAATATAGTTTGATATTTGATAAATGTGTTTTAAAAAGAAATATTTATTTAATCTATAATGTCTTACTAGTAAAAAAGACATTTAACTGAAGTTTGTTTGTAAGAAAACAATCCTGGTTAAATATTTATACTCACAGAGCCACAAAATGGCCTTTAGACTGTTATACTTTTATATAGATAAATATACACAAAAGTTTGTAAGAACTTCATCATATACATCATATTTTCTTTGTCTTTACAGATTGTTTGTAAATGTCACTAGTATATCTATACTAGTGTTTTTTTTTTAATACAACTTAGACTTAACATTTTTTTTAGGGTATATTAAAGTGTTTTAAATGTATTATATAATAGAAATATGTTATGTTTAAATATCTAAGAATCAGATGTTAATTTTGGTGTTAAGCTATATAGCTGTTTAAAGTTGTATTCTATCCACATCCTCTGTTGTTGGGGTTTTTTTTGTGAATATATCAAAATATTTCACCTTTATTGCAGGTTATGTTTCAAGGGCTAATTTAAACAACATCTCAGGACATTTTTATAAGACAAACTCCTTCATTGCTAAAACAGATAAACAACAGAGTTCAATCCGAAAGAATCGACATATTTAAATTAAATTACATACATTCTAGTTAAATTCTAGTTATATTACAATACGGTCAGATTCAGTCAGAGTCTTGAATGTTTATTGGGCTGCATTACCTTCCCCTGGGTGGCATACTACACTGAAAAGAAAATAATGCAGCCGTTTTTGGCATAACTTAATCATATTTAGTTACTTTAACACAATTGTTTCATGTTAGCAGTGTAAGACATAAAACGATTATGTTAAAGTAACTAAATGTGATTAAGTAAATGCCAAAAGGGCACAATTTTTTTTTTATAATTAAGTTTTCAACTTCAAATTTGTGAAATAGTTTTATTGTATCAAACATTATTTCCCATTTATTAATAGTTAATTTCTTTACTTCAAGGGGGAAAAAACTGTTTAAAATGAGATGTTGATCAAGATTTCCTGGATACTGTTTATTGTTCCAACATGAAGTAAGACTGTTAGGTTTTCTTTTTTATATCAACTTAAGACTGAAATTTGACACAATGTGACTGAGACTATAAAAAGTGTCAAAGTCCAACAGTTTTTTTATTTATCATTAACCTCATGATACAGAGTGCTTGATGTTGAGGTTTCCTGTGTCTTTATAGGCGGAGTTAAGACCATATCAGGAATTAGCCGTAGCATTTACTACCATAAAATACTCTTAAAAGCACTGTGATTGCTCTATTGTATATCCAAACAGCGGGAATGGTTTGATTTTTGTGTTATTAAACCCCATCCTTCCTAGATGTTCAAAACAACTATTGGCGTTTCACCTTTAGAGACGCTCTGCTGGAGCAGCAGCTGATGTTTTTGCCCCTATCTTGAAATCCAACCCTTTTCCTCATTCCGCTCAGACTGGTCCATCTACTTTGGGTTCTATAGTTAGGACAAACAATCTCACACGGAGAATTTATGAGTCTTTATTAGTCATTGGAAAACTATCGTAGATGAGTAATGAGGAAAATATAAGTAAAAAGAAAGTTTGGCTCCCAAAACTTTGGTTGCTTTATAACAATTTGAGTATATTTATTTGGATCGAATTCTTTTAAAAAACGGCAGGATCGGGAATGATTAAGTGGCGCGATGGATAGCGTGCGCGACCCTTATATGGAGGCCTTGCTGATTTACCTCGAACAGTTCCACCTGTGGTTTTTTGCTGCATGTCTCTAACCCCCTGCCTCGCTCCCGCTGTCCTGTCAGCCCACTGTATGAAAAAATAACAACAACAAAAAACAAGCAACTAGTGCTTGGTAGTGTTTGGTAGATGTAACTACCTAAAGAGTCTTACAAAAAAGGATCACAGAGGGCTGTATGTTGTCCTTTAGCAGGAAGGTCCTGGGTTTGAGTTCTTCCCTGGGGTCTTTTATATTGTTCTCTCTATAAACACGAGGTTTTTCTCCTGGTACCCCAGCTTCCTCAGTTCAAACGAATAATGACGAGGTTCATTTTATGCATGGGCTACTTAAAAATCAAATCTTTGATTTTTATTTGTGTATTTTTTTATTTATTTTTACCAAATATAATTAATTTAGATCTAGTTGTATTATATTCCTTTGACTGTTAATTGAAGAGTAGTCAAATTTTTAGTCTTTCAGAAACCAGCTTTTGTTTCAGCCATCCTTTCTGTGACGTAACCTTCATTTGAAGGACAATGAAATGCAAGTTGTGAAACATACTTTTTTTTTAAAAATGATGTGAAACAACATTAAAATAAAACATATAACACACTAAATGTTTGAGACGAGTGGTGTTACACAGTGAGGTAGTTTATCAGCACTACACATCCAAGAACAAAAAAGTGACGAAACCCTATCGCTCTGAGTTATGTAAGCCCAATGAGTTCATTGGTGGAACAAAAATTTAAAACCTTAAATCTTCATTAACTGAAAATATGGTTAATCGCTAAAAAAAATTAATTTCTAGCTGTAGTTTTTTGTCCTCCTTAAGTCTGTTTATGTGCAGCTTTTATGTCTTCGTTGCCCTGTAATAGACGGGCGACCTGTCTGCGATGTACCCACCTCTCACCCAATACCCACTGTTAATGGCTAACAACCCTCTGTGACCAAGCTGGTCCAGATGATGGCAGGACAAACAGTTTACAGGAAGGCAACAATCTGATATTAGCAAATATGAGACGATTATTTGGGGGAAGATGAGAAACCTTCCATAAACCTAAATGAAAGCATTCAGTGTTGCTTGCATAACCTGATTATAGAGGAAGAACTGGTTCTTTCTATAACCTTTGATTTTAAGTAACTGCAGTCATAACTACATCACTTGATTAGCTAAAAGAAAAGCTGTTTTAATTAGTGAATTGGTTTGAAGTTTAATGCTGGTACTTTTTAGAGATGTGTTAATGGTGTCTTTGTTTATTTTAGTTCTTGCACCGAATGTCCAGATCTACAGCCGGAACCCAGGGAAGTACGGGGAAAAAAACGTCTTAATCTGCCACGCCAGCGGCTTCCACCCACCTGAGATCAAAATTGAGCTGCTAAAGAATGGCATTGAAATTCCTGATGCTAAGCAGACTGACCTGGCCTTTGAGGAGAACTGGCACTACCACCTCACCAAGCATGTGCCTTTCACACCGATGTCAGGAGAGACGTACGTCTGCAGAGTCACCCACGTGGGAATCCCAAGAGATTACGTCTGGGGTATTGCTTTAAACCTTATTCACATGATCGCTAAAGTTGTTAAAAGTGCAGAAATTAAGAACTTTTTGAAAGTATTTCCTTCTAAACATTAGAGCCTAAAAAGTAAATGGCGGGCATTTATTTTTTATAATGTAAGTCTGTTCATGATAAAAAAAATAATGGATTTTTTTTTTTCTTTGACTTGTTGCAGAGTCTGATATGTAAGATTTTCAGACAGCTCCAGGTATGAACTACAGTATATCAGCATTGATCATCCTGTTTCTTCTAAACTTGGTATTTGTATAAATGTGTATTAATAGTTGCCATGTTTTTCCCTTTCTGTGTAATCCACAGGAATCTGGCATTTAAAGGATGAAGAATGAACTTCTTTTACCATCTAAGGATATGCATTGTGAATTTGGGCTTTCACAAAAAAAAAAAAAACCTTCAGCACTTTCGAGCTATTTGAGTTGAGTTCAGGACAGGAAGAAGTTGTAGATTTTTATTTTTCACATCTTGTGGCCTTAATACAGTGAACTTGTCTCACAAGCTTGGTGGTGAGACTAAATCTAAAAATACTAAACAGTAAATAAATAATTATGTACAGCGATTCAAATTTAAATTCTTCAAATTATGTTAATTAACTACATTAAATTAGAAAGTCCCATTTACCAGCCATGAACGGACGGACTCAGAAACAGTGAACTCACTCTCTTATCCTTCTTGTGGCTTTTTTATCATTTTTTGCCATTTTTATCAAAACTCTTTTCTTCTGGGCTTAAGGTTAAATCTTTTTATTCTATCTCATATTTTATGTTTTATCTCTTACGCTTTCAGAATTATTTCAGTGATTGATTATTATGCAATAGAAGTCTACTTTAGACAAAAACTAAAACTGTTTTACACTGGGTGATTGTATATATGGTCTAAAAATAAAACAATTGGATACAATTTTATTTTGTTTTGTTTTTATTATAAATTGCTTATGCTTTGACTTTCTACAGAACCCTTGATTCAATGCACCTTTCCTTTAGCTACGGAAGCCTTGATGTAGATAATTATCAGTTTTGATTTACCTTATCATTTAAATGAGAATGTTTAATTCTCCATTCTTAATACAGTAATTCAAGAAAGGAACCTTTTCTACTTTACTCACAGATTAAAAACTGGCATTTAAAAATGATGAGCAACGCCATTTCCATAGGGATACTTCTGCTGCGGACGCTCCAGTCAATGTAGACAAATCCCCAGGGAATATGATTACTTTTGCACAGTTTACACATCATTAAACATGAACTCCATCAGTATTAATAGTTCATGTTACATATCAACTGGAAGAGAAGGACTGGTAGTGGTTTCTGGGCTTAAAAGGGAAACTGCTTCAGTTTTATTCTCCCACAGCCCCATTTTGAGCATTGCTTTTGTAACAAAACATTTCCAATTTCATATTACTTGTTCATTCATAGACACATTGGTTTTCCATTAGAGAAATGGTCTAATTTAAATACTAAACATTCTTAAACTAAAGCTCTGTTATTTCCTTGCTTTACTGATTTGAAGTGGGGCTGCAACTTGTAGCATACAGCCACAAGAGGTCAGGATTTCTCTTCCTAAAGTAACTGATATATACTGATGATGATGGCAAAACTACCCTGATCACAAAGAATCATTTTAATATACTGATTTTTTTTATTTATTTATCCTTTATTTAACCAGGTGATACCCATTGAGATTAAAAATCTCTTTTGCGAGGGAGACCTGGCCAAGATAGGCATCAAAATTACATTACATCACATCATTACATACACTATATTGCCAAAAGTATTTGCTCACCTGCCTTGACTCACATATGAGCTTAAGTGACATCCCGTTCCTAATCCATAGGGTTCAATATGACGTCGGTCCACCCTTTGCAGCTAGAACAGCTTCAACTCTTCTGGGAAGGCTGTCCACAAGGTTTAGGAGTGTGTTTATGGGAATTTTTGACCATTCTTCCAGAAGCGCATTTGTGAGGTCGCACACTGATGTTGGACGAGAAGGCCTGGCTCTCAGTCTCCACTCTAATTCATCCCAAAGGTGTTCTATCGGGTTGAGGTCAGGACTCTGTGCAGGCCAGTCAAGTTCATCCACACCAGACTCTGTCATCCATGTCTTTATGGACCTTGCTTTGTGCACTGGTGCACAGTCATGTTGGAAGAGGAAGGGGCCAGCTCCAAACTGTTCCCACAAAGTTGGGAGCATGGAATTGTCCAAAATGTCTTGGTATGCTGAAGCATTCAGAGTTCCTTTCACTGGAACTAAGGGGCCAAGCCCAGCTCCTGAAAAACAACCCCACACCATAATCCCCCCTCCACCAAACTTTACACTTGGCACAATGCAGTCAGACAAGTACCGTTCTCCTGGCAACCGCCAAACCCAGACCCGTCCATCAGATTGCCAGATGGAGAAGCGCGATTCGTCACTCCAGAGAACGCGTCTCCACTGCTCTAGAGTCCAGTGGCGGCGTGCTTTACACCACCGCATCCGACGCTTTGCATTGCACTTGGTGATGTATGGCTTGGATGCAGCTGCTCGACCATGGAAACCCATTCCATGAAGCTCTCTGCGCACTGTTCTTGAGCTAATCTGAAGGCCACATGAAGTTTGGAGGTCTGTAGTGATTGACTCTGCAGAAAGTTGGCGACCTCTTCGCACTATGCGCGTCAGCATCCGCTGACCCCGCTCCGTCAGTTTACGTGGCCTACCACTTCGTGGCTGAGTTGCTGTCGTTCCCAAACACTTCCATTTTCTTATAATACAGCTGACAGTTGACTGTGGAATATTTAGGAGCGAGGAAATTTCACGACTGGATTTGTTGCACAGGTGGCATCCTATCACAGTTCCACGCTGGAATTCACTGAGCTCCTGAGAGCGACCCATTCTTTCACAAATGTTTGTAAAAACAGTCTGCATGCCTAGGTGCTTGAATTTATACACCTGTGGCCATGGAAGTGATTGGAACACCTGATTCCAATAATTTGGATGGGTGAGCAAATACTTTTGGCAATATAGTGTACGTACAAAGGCACACACATAAAAGCCAAATATAAACTTAAAATAAAATTTCAATTAAAACATTGACATGTGAGGGAGTCCAACTCAAAACATCTCATTCTCAGCTTAAAAGTATTCAAAGGAACCAATTTACTGACTACAGTACAGTTTGAAAGTATAACTGTCAGAAATGCAATTTAAATTGTCAATACATAGGTTAGACATTGGGGATGAATGTCAAAAAGCAGCAAAAAGGTCAGTTTTTGTTTGTCTGTTTTTTTTGTTGTTTTGTTTTTATTTGGGGGGTCAAATTCATATCACAAACAAGCGTGAAAGACACCGAAAACATTAGTTAAGCTGGTAACAAAATGTAGATCAGATTTAAATTAATAACTCAGATCAATTGTGAATGGATTTAATTTGGCAGTTAAATCAAAACCTCGGGTTCAAATGGGTTTGGCTGACATATAAGTACAGATTATAATACATCTGCAGTGTGGATGATGATGGTACTGCTGCTGAAGCTCCTCGAAAATGTTATTAGCACCCAGTGCAGTAGTGAGAAGTTTGGCATCAATTCTTTGCTTGCTTTGTTTGTCAACTGTTATGGTTGCTAGGCGAGAGTGTTTGGGCGGTGAATGCCAAAGAAGGAGAAGATTATTTTTACAGACCTCCAAGTACCCGGTCTATCTGCACCGGGTCCTTGGAGGATGTGGCCTCTGAAATCAAACATAACAGCCGTTGTGAAACCGAAAACTCAGAGTTCCCGAACTTAGGCTAGTTAAATTTAGAGTTGCGGTTTTGAATCTGAGTTTTTAAACCTGCTTTGGGAAACAGACCTCAGCAGTGACCAACTTCCCCATTTAATTCAAATTTAAAACCCCGCAAACGTCCTCTGTGTTAAAGGGCTGATAGGAAGCACATCTGGTTTCAAAACTGTTTTCAGGTCACGTTTTTCAGTTTCTGAATATCACCTAACAGAAGTTATTTGTATTAGAGAAATCTTTTTACATCTCTTTTTTTTAGGTTATCTTTTGTTTTGTTTTTGTTTTTTACTAAGTTGTGCTCCTTTCTGTGCTTTACAAAAAGCTTTATTTAGAAATACCTTATTGACTTAGATTATCTGTCATCCAGGTCATAAAAAGAAAATTAAAAACAATCCCCTGGGCTTTGTTTCCAAGTTTGAAGATGTTTTGCTTCCAATCCAAGAAGCTTTTTTTAAATTCAAATGTCAGGAATAGTGTTGAGTTCAAGGTTTTATACAGTAGCACAGCAAAGCCTTGTTTTTGGTTTGAAAACACGCAAATTGAAACGGATGAAGGACTCCACCCTTTTGGAATGGGGGTCGTTTGACTTCTTTTGTTAGCCTGTAATTCCTCATACCCGTCTAAGTGTCTGAAAGGTCGGTTGTTAAAGGGAATTGTTGGCCTCGCTGAATAGGCGAGGTCTTCTCATCTCCTCTACAGAGGCAGGGTGTGTGATTGAGTTAATACCTTGCCGCTATCATACCAGCCCCGAAAATCGAACCCAAGTCATAATCGCCAAGATTAATACTGTCGTCTCTCTTTTAATTGTTGAATAAAATAATAAACTAAATACAAAACATTAAAATGTGTTTGCCTTCTTCCTGATTCCTTTTTCCTTACGTTTGTGAAGCGTGTGTTTCTGAACATCAAACAAATTTAGATGTTAATCGAAAATAACACAAGTACACAGTAAATGTCAGTCTGGACGGGGGCCTGGCTTTTACAGCTGCTTTTTGTATCTCTGTTTGTCTCCTTGAACCCCAGTCGCCCTCAGCAGATGGCCGCTCACACTGAGCCTGGTTCTGCTGGAGGTTTCCTCCTGTTATAAGGGAGTTTTTCCTCTCCACTGCCGCTACAAGTATGCTCAGTGTGAGGGATTGGATTCGCATCAAATAAGTTGATGCAATTAACTGGTTTTCCTTGGGTAGAAAATATGTTGTGAATTGGCGCCATATAAATAAACCGAATTGAAATTGAAATAAATGCCATTTCTAATGCAGGTTTTTATTATGGGAGAAATAAACATCAGAATGTATGTAGCCCTGTAAGACCGGCCTTGCCTCGGTAAAGATGAGTGTTCATGTCTCCTCCATAAAAAGGAGAAGGACCAAAAATTTCTCCATGGCAACACAGAAGATCCTGCAGACTTTCAGGAAACTATTATTTGGACTTATGAAGCTGTTGGTCCCATTCCATCTGCTGTAAAAATTATGCTGTTGATGTTTATTTTAGGTTGGAAAAAAAAGAGAAATTATAACAATAAAAAAAAACATGGTGGTAGTGTGATGGTCAGGGCTGCATTGCTGCTTGAGAGGATTAGAGACTTGCTGCAAAAGAACAAAAAATGGAACCTTGATGCTTTTTACTAAAGAAATCCCGAAGGAGAACATCTGGCCAGCTGCTTGTGATGTTAGGCTAAAACCGCGGTTCTCAAAGTGTGTGGCGCGACCCACTGGTGGGGAATTGAGACGTGACAGGTGGGGCGCGCCAAGTTCCGGTGTGTGTGTGTGTGTGACTATAAATGTAGAACGTGTGAGAGCAAACTGTCCTTATAGCTGTATGTTGCCGCTTTTTAGACCAATCAAACCCACAAAGTAATCATTACTAGTCTACATGCAGTCTAATTAAAAGAACATTAGATATGAGAAAAATTTCACCTGGAACTGAAGTGCCAAAATAATGATTGACGTGACGTCGGCATATTATTTGTAACGGAATAAACTTTCGCGCCCCAGTGTTGCCAACTCAGCGACTTTGTCGCTATATTTCAGACCCCTCCAGCGACTCTTTATCAAAAAAGCGACTAGCGACAAATCGAGGGACTTTTGGAGACTCTTACGTGAAAGCACGTATCGTTCCTTTTCTTGTCCTCCAGCGGCAGGTGCTGCCGTGGGGCGCCTCCTCTGTCCCCACCCCGTTCTCCCCCGCTATCACAGAAGTCCCTCTCAGCGCTGCAGTCAGAGACACAGCATGCAGACTGCAAATAAAGCGCACATGCGCCGGGATTGACGGCGCAGGTTGATCATAAATAACTGAATTTGAAATATTTTATCTTATCCAATTTTTATCTTATTGGAGCCACCACAGTGATCCCATGTATTAAGCAGCACCTCTCTTCCCTGAGTGGATTGTTTCAAAAATAATTCCCAAACAACAGTGCTCAGTATGCCTGGGTTATTATGGATCCATTCAATGCAGCAGGTTGGTATTTTGACATTTTATTGAATATTATACTCATATATTATACATTAATTTATTTCTGTTGTATGCTACTAGCTGGAATGGATTGTTGTCAAACTGATTTCTTTGTGTTTATTATGCATTGAAAAATAAAGTAAGTCTATTTTTTTCTATTCTGTCTGCAGCACCTGCTGATTTTAGGTCTGCTGAGGAGGACCAGTTTATTGACATGATGTCTGACTCCACCCTGAGGCTCAGGTTTAATGCTCAGACTCATAGTGAATTCTGGTTTGGAGTGGAGAGGGAGTATCCACTCATCGGGCAGAGAGCTGTGTGCATTCTTCTTCCCTTTGCCACATCATATCTCTGTGAGATGGGCTTTTCAGCTGTTGCTTCACTGAAAACAAAATACAGATCTCAGCTGAACATTGAGCATGACCTGAGAGTGGTAGTATCAAGCCTGCAACTCCGTTTTGAGAAACTGTGCAATGCGAAACAGGCTAATTGCAGCCACTAATGCAGGGATAAATAGACCTGTCTTGCCAGATGGATTTCACTTCTTTTCTTTTTTTAACAGATTGCAGAGTGGCACTTTAATTTTTTCTATCTTTGAGCTTAATACAAATTTTGACACAGCTGCATTTTTGTTTTCTTTATTTTTGAGCTTGCTGTTATTTGATGTAGATAGTTTGTATTTAGATACTACTTGTTACTTCAATAAAATTGGAACATTTTAAGATTGTTGCATATTTCATAAGCATTGTGTTGGGGCGATGGGGACAGGCGGGGCTTGAAAATCCCCCCTTGTCCAAAGTGGGGAATGACAGAAAAAGTTTGAGAACCACTGGGCTAAAACAAACATTGGTTCTGCAGCAGCTGATAGAAACATACCAGCAAGTTTACCTCTGAATGGCTGAAGAAAAAAACAGACTGAAGACTTTGGAATGGCCCAGTCATTTAAAACTGCATTGTGTTTAATTGTGTTTTCTTTGCCCCTTATCAATGTTCTAAATTGTTCTGTAAGTGTGACAAATATGCAAATGAGAAGAAAATCCCTTTTTGACACAGCATAATATAACTCTAACTGGAATGTGAATTGACTGGTTTCTTCTTTACTTGAGCATAAGTACAATCCTCAGCCTCTTTTAACCTGTTTTCAGGTCTGCACACGTTCACTTCTGAGTAAACAATACTCTGCAGCTCTTTCTCATCTTGCACTGTTTTGAAGGATTTTCTCATAACAGAGAAGTCGATGTCTCCATAATGGATGTCCTGATTTTCTACGCTGCCGGCAGGCTCCTGGAAACCTGGTTTCTGAAAAACATGACAGCAGAATAAGTGATTCTGCTTAACCAGTACCTCAGCCACATGTTTCTTTTAAACACGGTCATATTTGGACATAGCAACAGCAAACATTGCTATGTACCAATACATGAACTTTACAGGGACCTTTAAAAATAGGTTTTCAAGCAGGATGCATCATCACTGCTTTTCTTTACACAACCAAAATTAGTCATAAGTTTATGCAAGGTCCCCCAACAGCTATAAGTAGAAACAAGCTTCTAAAAGTACATTCAGATCTGTTGGATTTTCCTACCTGAGTCTGATGTAAAGATGATGTTTTCCACTTTAAACGCCTGGAAGGTTAATGACAGATAAGATTTCTGGTTTATTCTCTTAAAGTAAACATCTTGTTTATTGCAAACATTGTGAAATAGACTGCAACAGCTAATGACTGTTCGGAAAAATGTACAAAGCTCCAGAGTTATTTATGCATTAATCTCTTAGTGTATAAGTATCCAAAAGACGGCAGAGCCAAAGTAACCTATCTGGGGCTCTGAGTTACAAAAACACAAATTAATAATTCCTGAAACTAAATTATACATATCATCCTTAACTTTTTACACAGTTTTGCATAATACAACAAAAAAAACCTTGACGTTTTTATTCAATTATTATATATTTTTTTGGTATTCTGTATAGTAAAATCATGCATAATTTCAAAACTGGTAGGAAAATTGTATTTCAATGTTTTTCCTTTTTCCCTTCCAACCCTTAAAATATGTGTGACCATTACCACCCTACACAGGATAGTGTTAACCTCAGCTTCACACTACCTGCTCAGCAAACAACAGCAGCAATTTGAGGCAGAGCGATCATTACTGCTAACAGTTGACACAAAGTGGCTCTTTTAACGGCTAATCTGCACAGTGACAGCGGTTTTTACTGCTGCAAGACATTTTAGACTTTGTTTGGCCTTCCTATAGGAAAAACTAATCTCCACAATAACATGATACAGCATTGTCATGAATTGTGCTATATAACAACAAGGTAAGAGACCATTGTGCTATGAAGGCAAGAACAGAAAGAAAGTAAGTGGTGGCCTAGTGGTTAGGGTATTGCGCCTGGAGTCCAGAGGTTCTGAGTTCAAGCCCCACTCCCATAGACTGCAAATCTTGTTCCCTGAGCAACACCCTTAAAGGAATAGTACACCCAAAACATGATTAGCCTTCATTTTCTACTCACCTCCATGCTGAACAACACTCTGGAGTACTTTTTTGATATCTCAAATGCATCTGGAGATCTGGGAGGCTTCTTGCTGTCTGCTGACATTCAAATAATGGAGGTCCATGGCGCCCGAGACAGAAAGGTCCATAAAAGTCCACAAAAACGTGTCAATATTCCTCCATACTGCTCGTCCAATGTAATCCAAGTGTCCTGAGTGGGTAGCATCCAGAATTTACTCGAAACGAAGTCATTTAGAATGTTTTTAGAGCATAAACAGTAGTGTATAGGATTTCCTAATAGCGCCCCCATGCGCGCTCACGATTCTACGGAAGCCGGCAGACCAAACCGGAAGGAAGTGCGCATTCAGCGTCTGGTCTGCCGATAATGCAAGCGTAGAAGAAGAAATGTGCTGTTTACCTGTGCAAAGAAAGAAACAACGAAAGAAAAATGTCTGAGGACTTCAGTGTTGAGGAAGAGCATGAGTTCTTTGCCGAGCTGAATGCGCTGGTTTGGTCTGCCGGCTTCCGTAGAATCGTGAGCGCGCATGGGGGCGCTATTAGGAAATCCTATACACTACTGTTTAGGCTCTAAAACGTTCTAAATGACTTCGTTTCGAGTAAATTCTGGATGCTACCCACTCAGGACACTTGGATTACATTGGACGAGCAGTATGGAGGAATATTGACAAGTTTTTGTGGACTTTTGTGGACCTTTCTGTCTCGGGCGCCATAGACCTCCATTATTTGAATGTCAGCAGACAGCAAGAAGTCTCCCAGATCTCCAGATGCATTTGAGATATCAAAAAAGTACTCCAGAGTGTTGTTCAGCATGGAGGTGAGTAGAAAATGAAGGCTAATCATGTTTTGGGTGTACTATTCCTTTAAGCCCAGACTGCTCCCCAAGGGGATGGGTTAAAATGCAGAGTTAATTTCGTTTCTCTATGCTTGTGACAGTGTAATGACAATTTAAAAAAAAGCTGGGAAGAACTGGTATTTCATAACGAATGCTCCCTATTACCCAAGACAATATTTCATCATGACACAGTTGACTTTGAAAGGCTTGAAAAGGTTAAATATAGGACCTTTGATGAAATCCAGTGCAACTTTTTTTCCTTTGGAAGTCACTTTATGGGTAAAATCAGCGGTGCCACTTGTGTGTAATATAACTCAGTTATAATTTAAGCTGTTTTTAGAAAGCTTCAGGGTTTTATTGGAAAACACATAGAAGTAAACTGGAACAGCAGTTCACCTTCCAGCAGCACAGCAACCCTAAACACACAGAAATAGCTAAACTGCAATGGATTGGATTCAAACATATCAAAGCGATAGAATGGGGCCAAAATTTTAAAACCTATCGATTTAGGGGAGCAGAACACAAACGCACTCCACACATTTCAGATTTCTATTTCATTCTCCCTCGAGTCACACATTTCTGCTATTTTGAGTTAGTCCTAATTAAATATATATATTTTTTATTTAATTTAATTTTTTTGGAAAATAACAATAAAGAATCAAAGAAATACAATCAGCACTTTAGCTACTTTGATAACCTTGTTGTAAATGGAAATTAAAAAAGAAGCAGAGCTTACCATAGAATGTAAACCACACAGATCACAATTATGATCCCAACAAACCCCCCAGCAACAGACGGCCATAATGTTGTTGCCTCCATCCCTAAAATAATAATAATAAAAAAAAAAAAAAGGTATAAGACCAACAAATTATTAAAATGTATGTGTTTATAAATAAAGAAATACATTTAACATGTAGGACAGTCAGAAACTTAAAAGCCTTCAAACTGTCACTAAGGATGTTGTTCCCAACATATCATTTTTATGAAGCTCCATCACTTCCTGTCTTATTTTCCTCTGTCTTTTGTTACTGAATCAACTGTGCTATCATTCTAAGTATTGTTCTTCTTCAATAAATCTTATTATGTAATGTTGAGGCCCTTTTAATTAATGAAAATACCTGTTTATAAAAGCCAAATTCTTATCTCTTAAAGTACAGCTTTGGACTGCATGCCAAATCTGAACAACTTCCAGCCTTTCTTGTTATTATGAGAATGAAGAACAGGTGAAAGATGATCAAGTTGGAATTATAGCATTCGAGAAATTAATTACTTGTGTCTGTGGATTTTCTCTTTTCTCAATACCATAATACTAAACTGGCCAAAGCTAGTCTAAGTCTCTAACCACACTGGGGCGTCTCTAGGTTTAAGAGACAAGGGTGGCTTAGCCCCTCGAATTTTTTCACTGTACCTGCTTAGGCGTTGTCTAAGACAAGGGTGTAACTTTGTGTTGAAAGTTGGTGGGGACGGCTCATAAGGAAAGGGAGCTACCTGCGCGACGCCTTTTTTTTTTTTGTTGGAAAGGATAAAGCCAAAAAAATGCGAATAACATTTATCAATTTAATGCTTACAGTTGAAAACATAACTGTTACAATATTCACTTATATATTTTGTGCAAAAAATATCACATAAATCTAAACAGACAGTACAAATCAAAGAAATCAAATAAATATATCAATTTTGTAGAACATTTATTGACAGTCAATTTTGGGTCACTTTTTAAAATTAATTTACTTTTAAACCAGGACTCGGACAAGATCTTATGGGACCTTAAGCAGAATATGATTAAGCAACTCCGTCTTTCTGTCAAGAACATCCACTAGCAGGGTATCCAGGGGGGGATTTACCATTAGGCAATACTAGGCAGTTGCCCAGGGCCCCAAGTTCTGGGGGCCCCATAAAACTCTGTTTCCATGTATGGTTAATACAACTAATCCTTATTTGTGCACATTAATTATGTTTTTGATAAAAATCCTTTGGCTAAAATGCCATCAGAACGCTGATAAATAGAGAGGAAAAAGGGACAAGAAGAGAGGGACAAAACCTAGAACAGATAATGGATGTCTATTCTATTAACATTTCTCTATCTGTAGAATGGGTCTGTTTTATGGGTTTACTTCTCAGGGGGGCCCCTGCCTGTCTTTGCCTAGGGCCCCAAATTTCCTAAATCCGCCCCTGAAGGTATCAATACTGATTTGATAGAATCTGGGAGAGCGGACCATGTTCAACCATCCATTTTCTTTAACCTTATCCCTCAGTGGGATCAGGAGGTGCTGGTGCATATCTCTAGCCACGTTCTGGGTGAGAGAGAGGTGGGATCACCCTGGACAGGTCACCAGTCTGTCGCAGTATGTTCAACCAGCTTAAAAGTAATCTGTAATCAGATTTATTATTTGCACTTTTACTAAGTGAACTTTCTAACTCCCTTAAATCTGAAATTCCAATGCCAAAATTGTTTAAATCTTTTATCTTTGGACCCCCTGCAGAGTGACGTCACACCTGCAAGATCCTATCCTTACCTTCCTGCTAGATTGCAAAAAGCAGCTTGCTCATGAGTTGTCAACATAACACGCTAAATCTTAAATGTACGTGTACATATAAAAGAAAAAGGGGCGCAGTGCTTGCTACTGAATGGCAACACTATCAAAGTCAGGAAAAAGTTTTAAGTAAAGCCGGGATTAAAACAGTAGCAACAAGAAGCTTCAAATAAAAGGTGTTCTTTATGTTCAACCTAAACACCAACTCCGATAGACCATCAGTAGAGCAGGTGTTTAAATTAATCAATCACTGCTGCGAAAGCTTATAGCAGTGAAAGCTAATATACCACAGCCATCACTTAATAAACGCAAAATAAACAACCCTCTAAAAACGGAAAACTGTAATGGACTGAAAGTCCTGTTTTTTTATGTGGGAAATTATTTGCGTGTGTTTTAGTATAATTCTGATATATTGGCGCTGTTGTCTGTTTCTATGGCAACGATACTGAATGTAGTGTAGCTTAGAGACCTGCATGGGTCGAGTTTTACCAACCCGCACCCGCCCGAACCCGTTAGGATGACTACCGAACCCGACCCGTCACCCGCGGATATCTTCAATTCAAATGTTATGGGGAGAGGGCGGAGGGGGGTGATGGGGAGAAAGCGAGAGGCAACAGATTCTTTTTTCTGAGTTTTTTTGTCGGGGTTTGTGGACGGTGAGCAGCGGGGAGAACTTTTTTTATTTTCTTTCTGAGGAGCGGCATGAATGGGTTTTTTTAATCAGATATAGGCTACACAGCACCGAAAGCAAAATACGTGTACAAAATATTGGTGGGGACATGTCCACACCAGTCCTTAAGGAAGTTACGCCTATGATTGTTCAGATTAACTTGTCTTCTTTATGGCTTTTATTCGGTGCTTTACTGCATTTGTTTTGGGAAAATATGAGGAAAAAATAAATACAGAAAAAAAAAATATATTTTTTAAAATCGCAAAATAATTATAGGGTGGCTAATGCCAAAGAAAGGGTGACTGAAGCCACCCTTAAATAGGTCTAACGACGCTTATGAACCACAGTCCACTCAATTTCAGTCAATCTGATCTAATTTATTGCCACTAGTCACTTTCACTTCTATATTTTGTTAGGAGTTTAATTTTTTATGCTATTTACTATTGATTTCATATTTTGATAAGTTGCGTTTAGTTTAGAGGTTTTTTTTTTTGTTTTGTTTTGTTTAATCTGCTGGATACCAACATGCCAGCTGCGGGTCTAGTCAACAATAGTTCTGTTATCAGTGAATAAAATTTTAATTTATAATTGGAGAGCTACATAAAATATAATTTTATTAATTTTTTATTTAACCTTTATTTTACCAGGAAGTCCCTTGAGATAAAATCTCTTTTTCGAGGGAGACCCTATATCCCTGACTAATTTTGCAAGACTCCAACTTCTGGAGTCTGGAGCACTTTTAAAATGTGTTAGAAATACATATAAATTAATATGGCCTTTTCTTCTTAACCACAAATATGTTTAAGAACACATTGCTTGCATTTTTAATAAATGAGCATATTTTTGAGGGGCAATAGAGCAACGCTTACAAAATCAATCTGATTAAAAAAAAACTGCAAATACTGACCTTTGCATCCAACACAGATCCTTGATGACTTCTCATTCCCCAGATCATTTGTAGCCTCACAGTAATACTCTCCTCCCTCAGTAACATTGAAGCTGTAAACCTGCCCCACAGATACATTAATGGCTCCATGTTTGCTGTTCCTGAACCAGGTGAAGCTGGCAGGAGGCTTGGCTCTGCTGGAGCAGCTCAGCTCCACCCAGCTACCTGCTGACACCAAACCTGATGGACTGATGGATGCTGAGGTGTCTTTAGGAGCATCTGAGGAAAATGGGACAAACATTAACTTTATTGATCAGAAACAACTGAACCATGACGTGCTGACAGGATCACTAACATGAAACACTGAGAGTCACTTCTGTCTCTGCTGTCTTGCTTCCTCCATTCACAGGATATCTGGCAGAACAGCTGATGTTGTATCCATCATGTGTGTCTGACAGAGTGATGGTCTCCTGGATTTTAGTTGTAAAGGTTCCATCTGGGTTTTTCTCTGTTTGTCTCTCAGAGTCTTGTTGGAGATTCCAGGTGAGTTCAGGAGGTGAGTGTGGACAGGGAGTCACAGCTGAGCAGCTTATAGTTGCAGACTGATGCTCCTTGAGATCACCAACAGAGATATTAATGCTGGGACTCAAAGGAGAATCTGGAAGTTCACATCAGAAACAAATCTAGGATAAATTCACTCCATAAACTCCTTCCTCTTATCCATTAAGACAGTTTTATGTATTACAAAACTCTCCTACTTTAAATAAGATGTGTCTTAAAATATATTTCTAATTGAACTTAAATTACCAAAAAATATCAAAGTCATCTGTTTTTAAAATAGATTTAAAAAGATACAGATTGATTTAACACATATATGGAAAGAAATCATCATAATTCTTCCCAGAAAGTAGGATTTACCGAATTTGCTTATTATAAAATACCCAAAAATTGAGATTATTCACCTGTTACTGTTACTTGACACGGACTGCAGGAAGCTGTTGCCTTGTACATCGAGTTCTCAATTCTGAAAAAGTATTTATCTGAGTGTTGCATAGTTAAATTTTCAAATAAAGTTGTGCAGTTTTTCTCCATCAGGTTTCCTGTAATTTCTAGTGGATACACTTTTACTGCGCCACTGCTGTTGAAAATCAAGTTATTTGGAAAAAATTGAAATCTAGGATCCTTTATAAACCATACCCCGTAGTTTACCCCTGTAAAGTTTTCTCTTGTTTTAGATGAAAAATTGCATGGGATGTGTAGACATGATCCACTCAGAGCTAACAGGTGTCCTGGTGTGGTGATGAAAAGGTCTGGTTTCTTCGGGCAAGAATCAGAAAAACCTGGAAATTTAGCATATAATTTGTCATATTTAACTTTTTTTTTTTCATTTTAGATTATATGCAGTTCTTAGGTAAACTCACCAGATAAAAATGGGAAAGTCAGAAGTAACCGGATTGCCGCCATAACAACAACCTCTATAATTTTCAAACAAAAAAAGCAGAAATTGAATTTTACATTTGGAGATTTGACTGATGAGAATATATGCTCTATAACTTCCCTTTATCATATCCACAATCAGTCCCTTTTGTCACAGTTCTTTAAGCCTTTTAGGCAACTTATGCAAAACTGTGAGATCAGAGCTTGAGCAAATATAGTAACCACAGTAAAAAATCACTGCATGCACAGACAGTACATACAATAATCTAATTAGTTAATTAATGAAAGTGGTAAAAGGTTTCCTTACCAGAACAATTCAAGAAGTCCTGTTTTTAAGCAGTGGATAGATTCAGATGTTAGGCGTACTTTAAATGCTTCTGTTTCTCAGTTGTTGTACTCTGACAGAAAGAGTGACAAAGAAAAAGAGGAAGCGACTTTAAGGGAAAGGCAAGTTAAAATAGTGCAAAGCTGGAAAGCATCACATGACTCCTCTTGGTAAAGGTTATTTTGCTTCATATCCTGCCTGAAAGGATGTCCGACGTTACGCATCCTGATGTGGCTGATGAATGTATCAGGTCACAAACACACCTAATGCCTCTTTTTGGCATTCAACGCATTAAATAAGCACACTTATATTTTATAATCTGTTGTTAGGTAACAGAGTATAATCTACAAACAGCAGCTTAGCAATAATACCTAAACTTTTTGACAGTATTATATTTAAAAACTGGGTTTGTAATATTTGATAGGCATTTTTATGTTTTTGACCAAAACAAAGTTGTGCACAACAAAAATTCTGATTTCTTAAAATATTTTGTGGTTTTCATTTATATTGGTTACCCTCTGACCTAATGCTCTGCATAACTAGATTTCATCATCATTGCTACTGGAAGTGTTTTTGCGTATGTCACCACAAAATAAAATGCAACTAACCGTTGACCCCCTAAAAGTACATATAATCAGTTGACTGATATTAATTTATAAAGGTTAAGTATTTTCAGATTCTATTTATTGAATTAATCATTTTAAACCTTATTTGAATTATTCAATTGGACATTTAATTATTCAGTTGTATTTTCTTTTTTATTTGTTGGTCTAGTTAATATTTCAATCATGCATTGGATAAATAAATAAATAATATTTCATAATATATTTATTTCTAAATATATAATTATTTAAATATATTAATTAGTGTTGCGCCGATGCCATTTTTTGGCTGTGCAGTATCGGCCGATACCGATACCATCGGTTTGAGATTGATGTGTGTGTGTGTGTGTGTGTATTGTCATGGGAAAAACAGTATTCAACTATTCACCCTAGTTAAATAAACGGAGCTCAATGGATTTCACTCAGTCGGCACATTTATTCATATCTTTGCAAAGAGAGAACAGTCATCATACAGCCCTTATGGCACAGCATTCTGCCCGGTTCTGCATGAGCAGCGTTCGTTCCCCCTTACAACAATGGAAAAGTAGTCTGAGTCAAAACTAATTACAGACACTTTGGTTAACCCTTTATCGGGCAAGTTACCATATTTGAGCACTTCCGGAGACCTTCTAAATGACGTCACTGCGGCCTCGCGCATACTTGTCGAGTCACGTGATTTGGCCCAGCCAATCAGCAGGGACTAAGCTTGTTACGGTTCGCGCCATTGCGCCGTTCGACCAATCAGCGAGTGTCTGTGACGCGCGAAACGTCAGTGTTTTCCCGGGAGCAGGAAATCACCACTTCGCGGCTTGATTTCTCTAGCGTTTTCACTCGGCTCTCCAAAACTAACCATGGTAAGTTTATTAAACTTTCACATTACACGGTTGAGAAGTTGTACTTAATGATGACAGACATGTTTTTTTCGTGAGACTTTTGGAAATTGGCGAAATCATAGCATGAAAAACAGGGAGCACATATATGTGCATATGCCCAAAACAAGTAAAAACAGACCTGCATCAGTTTCGCCTACTTTAACTCATATGTTCTTTGTTTCTAAGCCACATTTTTGAGTTTCTGTTTACCAAACACGCATTATAACCAACAAATAATACATTAGAATCTTATCTGATGCTTTTAGAAGCTTTTATAATGATTTATTCACATATATATCTCACTTCTAAAGATTATATAGCTAAAAATGGTGAAAATAAGTGATTTTGGATGTTTTTGTATTATATTTTGTATCACTTAACTGTTATTTTATGTCTTAAACAGTAACATGTTATGAATAAACCTTGAGAAAGAATCTGGTTTGTTAAGGGAAGAAGCTATGTCTGGTCTACAAACACCATCCTGCAGAGAATAGTGTGACTTGCAGGTGAAACAGACTGAGTGAAAACTTTCATAGTGAGTAAATAGGATAAATTAATATACAATAGAAGATAAATCTAAATTTTCCGACAACACACCAAATTGTTAACTTGAACAATTGCTAATTTCATATACAAGTTTCCCTCTCTAGATCTAGAGCCTGAGAACAGCGCTGCTATCACTAGTATCAGTATTACTAAGCTGTGTACTGTGTCCATTAACCTGGCAGCCAAATGTAAATGTTTTGGCAGCTTTAGATCCTTTTAACTTAACAGCAACATTCATATTGTGTTCAAAGCTCTACTTGTCTCTGGGATTTGCTGACTCGTTTTGCGTCATTGCTTTCTTCTTTACCTGTTCTGCAGATATCCGGTAATCTAACTCTGTATTGTGGTCTCATCATGTTAAATATACACTAATTGATAACAAATAGCACAGAAATAAAGTGTAAAGCAGAGAAATAAAATATAATAAGCCAACGGGATGCTGTGATTTAATCCAAAGACCTTGTTATGCAACCAGAGTGAGCTACTGGGGTAGAAATTCAGTGAGTGACTGCCCTTTAAAAACCCTTTGGTAAATCATCAAGAATTTTAATGAGTAGTTTAAATATGTTAATATTGGATAAATAAAATATTGGATTTCTCTGCAACACAAAAGCTCGATCAGACAGAATAATTTAACTTGTATATTAAATTAGCAAAAAAATCACTAAATGCCGAGGTGAGCCTGGTGAACTGAGGCCGTGCAGCCAGTACTGACTGAGGCAGAGAATGGATGAATCACGGTCATCTAGCCGAACCGGCTCAAGCAAAGAACACTGGCACAAGGCCCAGAACCAGAGTGCTGCACGAAAAGCTTGGAGGGAAGTGGCGGCCTAGTGGTCAGGGCATAGAGCCTTGAATTCTGAGGTTGCAAGTGCAAAACCCACTTCCACAGACTGCCAACATGGGTCTCTGAGCAAGACCCTTAACCCTGATTGCTTTCCGGGTGCCCCACGATGGCAGCCCACTGCTGAGATCAATAGAAAGGTAAATTAATTATTAAGCTCGTCCAAAACAGGAGATGGATTCTGCACGTAAAGAAAACACAGAGAAAGAACCAAACACATCAGATACTCAAATTAACACAGGTTTATGTTCAGCGTAAGTGAATTATGGTTTATTTATGTACAACATTAGAATTTACATGGTATCTAATATAATATATAATTCTTACCAAAAAAAACAAACCTATAGGTTAAACTGTACTTCTAATTCAAACACATCTATTGCAAAACTGAACTAATCAGACTTCTGATGACATCATGGCATATGATATTCTGTTTTAACCTTCATGCCACAAAGCCCCAGATCAGTCCTATAAGGATCAGTTTGGGGCTACATGTGTTCATTATTGCATCCATATTCTAACGGTTGTTTTAATTCTGGTTTTGAGGGGTGAACATAACTGCAGGGATAATGAACCATTGCTGCTATAAAGAGACTATTCAGACAAAAGTATCCAAGACCATCCCGTAGGGGAGGGGTTATAAATTCATATACCAAGAGTCTACTGAATCACCTCCAAATAAGAGATTTTATAAAATCATGCAAATTCTGCTCTTACAAAATGCATCTTTAGTCTAAGATGTAAATTAAACTGACTATGCAGATCTTTTTCGCTAGTTCAGACCTAAGGGCTAGTTATATGAAAGCTAAATTTAGTTGTAAAAAATAAAACCTTTTTAAAAGGAGGCTGGTTGATACATTTGGTGAAGAATGCTTGGAATGATTGTGGAAACTCAATAGGGATCAGTGTGTTAGCTGATAATAAAATACTATCGATGTCAAGGAACAAAAAATTATTCTACAAATTTAGGTGATGGGACTGCAGAGAAATTCAAATCTTTCTGCAGATGTGATCATTTGAAATGAAAAAAGAAGTCAGGAAACATTTTTCACTACAAAATAAGCTTTTTATTTCGAACATGCGTTGCTAAAACCATTCAGCACCTTAAAATACAGCTAGCTTGTATCGTGGATCGTCGTAAACAACAAAGTTGTATAATTGAAACAATCATTCAACAAAAACCTCGTCCTTTGCAGCATTTTTCCTGCCGAATTTAGGATTCATTGAATATGTTATGACAGAGACATCAACAGGGAACCAAGTTCAGGCTATTTGCCCTTCTTGAATTTGCCTGGAGTAGCTCCAGTTTTCTGTTTTTTCTTTGCAGGTCCTTTGGTCTCTGGTTCCTGAAAACACAGAGATAAAGTAGAAAATTCAGGAAATAAACAGAAGTAAAGTCCTCTGTTAAATGATATGTAACCGTCAAGTACACTCATATTAAGAGAATATTTAAATAAATGTTGGGTTGCTGTGGAAGCAGTCAGTAGGCGCGGCAGCTGTTTCGAAGCTCACCTTCCTTTTGGAGGACAGGGATCCAGTGACAGAGAAGAACGAGTCCAGCCTTCCCTGCGTGCTGCCCTGCCTGCTCTTCAGAATCTTCTTACAGCCGTTACGGATCCTGTCCTCGCTGCAAACACACCAAAATGACTCAGCATTTCCAATAAACCCAGCTGCATGCAACAATTTAGACTTTTTTGTTTTTGGAGACATAACACTTTGAATTGTTTATGTGGCATGCGGGCAACTGCTTAGAAAAATATCTAAAAGGACTGTTGAAATAAGATTTACACGATAGAAAAGTCATAACACTGCAAATAAAAGTCCAACAGTGGAGACTAGTGGACTAACTATGCAAGAACAGTTCAAGTAGCCATCACTGTGAGAGCAGATCACTCTACTGCAGCATCTTTGTAAAACAAAAGAAAAAGGCTTTGTGAGCCAGCATGCCTCAGCTCACCTGAACTGTTTCTCATTGCACATGAACTGGATCAGCGCCTCCTCATCAGGCTCCCTCCACTTCAGCTCCACGGTGGACGAGTCCACCACCTCTGGCTTCAGAAACAAATTCCTGGCTTCTTTGTACAGCCAGTCCTCGGGTGCAGGATGCTTCTGCAGGAAGGTGAACATGCACAAAATGACATCAACGGTATGGATTGACTAAAGTGAATAATGAATGTGTTCTTTTTAGGGTAAAAGCTGGACAGGAGTCAGTTAACAGTAACATGTAATAAAGAGATTAGGAAGCT